TATAAATGACTCAACGGCATATTAAGTTAATTGACAAATTTAAGGAATTTACCGCAAAAATTCTTTTAATAACCGATTAATTATGTCAAGGTGCATTATGTCTCACAATTTTGTGGTCGTCGTTTATCATTGGCGTAAACCCCGATTGTCTTCATAGGTACCTACGTAAAACAAGGAAAAACCGCGAGTGATTCTTAGAGGAAGTGTATTTTTATATTCTAAATATAGATGCTTTTTTTCCCGAAAAATAATAAGCCATCAACTATTACGTAGAGCTGATCTAATTATAAAAGTAATGAACTGGCCTTTCAAGGACCATATTACGTTAACAAATTACACCTCACAACCTTTCCTTCACGGTTAAGGCCACGGTGTAAAACATTATGGTATTAAGGCTAAGTTCCTAAAATGAAAGTCCCAAGAATACCCACGTCAATTTTAAGATCTATTTCTATACTTTCATCAATCATTGGTAAATTTTGAGTAATTCGTCGATCTAGTGTTATATATTTTGTCTATTAATCGGATTAAACATATTAACTGAACACCAACATATTCTCGCAAATATCAAAGAATAAATAAATTTAAACACTATTAACAATATCTTTTTTCGTGAAAATAGACGAAAAAATGATTCAGTAGTACCTAGTTGGTGCCTACCTAATTTTCCACTGGCTAAGATTATTAAAAGGTAGTGGATGTTAATATAGTGTCTATTAGCTTTGTTTATTAATTAATAAGAAATGCTATTAGCAATTTATTTGACACCAGTAAACTGGAGCAACGCTTCTTTGTTCTTCTGATTGGGAGATTTCAACTTATCTTAATTTACCCATTACACCCCTGCAGTTTGAAGCGGAAAGCAACAAATTCATCCAGAATCCTATAATAGGAAAACGTTATGCGCTATTCTCGCACCTAAAGATTTATCGTTCTAACACTTCAACTTTGTTGGCATATAACATCCATTGTCACTGTTCTAGTTGCAAATAACCGCGATGTGCATCTCTCAAATGTCACCTTCTTAATACAGTAGAAAGTTTATAATTATTATTACTTTTAATGTACATGACAGTATCTCAGCTGCTATGAGGCTGGAATTTTGCTTTGCGTTGGAAGGCCTCCTATTATTATCTCACCTGGAGTTACGTTTCGGGATAATTGAAAGGTGCGTGCGATCGGTGGCAGTACCTACTCCGTAGGTACCCCAGAATTCGTTTGACCCAGCAGATCGATGCCTGATCGCGTTAGGCCAGTAATTTAGTCGAGTGGCGAGTAATTTAGTAACAAAATTGGGTAGTACTTTACTTGTCCAAAAGTGTTCACATTAGACTAGTGCAATGAATGAGTGGTGTATACCAAGATGAACAGGACACAGCGTAATAAAGTACATAAGTTGATAAAGCTGATTCCAAGGGCTATTTTGGAAGTGGTGAAAGAAAAATTAGTGAGATGGAAGTAATGAAGCTATGGATGCGAAAATGGATTAACAGAAGAGATGAACTAGGAGCTACGAATTCTCTGATCAAGGAAATATAGCATTGGCACTCTTGTTCTAAATATTTCGTAACAAATTTTAAAGTCGGATCCAAGGAAACGGCATTTTAGCAACGATTAATGAGCTTCACTAAATGAACCGGTTCGGTCAAGGGGATAATTTAGTAGCCAGTGAAGCCTGGTGGGGGATGCTACTCGCTCGAAAAAATAGAATCAAATGGATTGACTCGACTAAATTACTTACTAGGTAGGGGTATTCACTGCAGTAGCGGATTTACATATAGGCACACTAGGCACGTGCCTAGGGGCGGCATTTTTTGCACTATATTTATTTTAGGTAACATTTTAAGTTTTAAAATATAAGTCCTCTAACAAGTTACAAATGACAAAAACGTTTAATTAAAATTATGAAATACATTGGAATTGGTATCTAGTATTTTTTCATACTAGTTTTCAAAATTTCTTATTATAATTTTAAAAATTATTTAAAAATTGATTGCAATGTAAAGATTATTTTGGGGCGGATATCTTTCGGTGTACCTAGGGGCGCAAAAAATTTAAATCCGCCACGGGGTATTCTAACCCGCTAGTATGGAATATTCTTGTTGTTCTGTGCATGTGTTGTATGGAATGACTGCACCTATCGCTGATTAGCAATGTTACACGTAAATTAGAAATAGGTATGTAGGTATTGTTTGTAAAAACTGAACAGTGATAATCCTTATCAACTGTCGCGAAGCGTGATAGAAATGCTCGTGGCAAAACGGTATCAAAGTGTAATAAAAAAAAATTGGAACGTAATATTGCATAAAATTGCGTATTTTTTAATTCATTTTTATGACATCAATCGAGTTTGATAATTACCTAAATGCCTCAATTGTTTGTGCAAATACACGGCGAGCTGTGCCATTCGCTAACGTCAATGAAAAACGGTATTCGTGCTTATGCAATGAGTCACTTAAAATTGTTTTAAAAAGTATGGTAGTGGATGTAATTCAACGGTCAAGGAAAAATATTATCGTTTTCGATTGCGATTCATCCTAGGTCTGCCTTGCCATTGAACTCATTTAAACGGCGCATAATAAAAGTGACTGCGGTGACATCTAGGTTAATCAGTGTATACTATTACAGTTTCCTGAAATGTTGTATTTTGTAAATTGGAAAATTGAATATTCAGCAACTTGTAAAATTAGGCAACCAACATCTCTAATAAAAATACAATGTTCCTAGTAAATAATAAACGTATGTCCTTGTTGCCACTATAAAACTATAATTCGCGAATGGATATATGTAGATGTTCGAAATCTGTTTCATGAAAGACATTTAAGAACTACTTATGACAGTTTACAAATACTGTTTGGCACTTCAAATGTAGCAAAGACCCCTACGTTTGGAGGGCGTACCTTCTCTCGGTACCGGAAAAAAGGCCCCTGGAAAAAAGCCGCGGAATAAACACCCCCGGAATAAAAACCCATGGAAAGAAAACCCCCCGGGAAAAAAACCCCGGAAAAAAAACCCCGGAAAAAAGACCCCCTGGTAAAAAACCGGAAGAAAAACCACAGGGAAAAAAGGAAATATTGCGCAAGAGCTAAAGTTGCATATTGTTTACTGAAACAGGAATATCAAACAGAACTCGGTTGAGATATTTTATTAACAAATTTTCACAATTTTTACAAAATACGTAATTGCATATTATCCTAAACTACCATTAACCCTAATTAAACCTAATATTATGACTTATAGCTTCTAAGAAGTTTAGATCTCCACAACTACAATAGCTAGAGAATTCAAATTTTCACTAAAAGCTTTCTGCTATAGTGTAGATGTGCAGGCACTAGTCTATTTTTAGTTAGATTACTTGTGAGATCGATAATTGAAGAAAATAATTTCGATGTGGGTTTCGGAGGTACTATAATTTTACCGTTAGATAGCGCTACCAGTATAAAAACTTATTATTTACTTTGCGATTTGTTTTACAAAATGAAGACGTACCGTCAATTGAAATTAAATAAAATTAATTATTTAACGCAGCCAAAATTACTCGTGAGATCGATAATTTTAAACTTCGCTAATAAAATACTGACCTGTATTACCAAAAATGCGCTTTAATCATGCATATGCTGATTTACAACTTGTTTAGTCTACTTTGCAGCAGTACATATTTTGCTTTCTTCCTTTTTGGGATTAATTGACCTAAATGTTGGTGTCATTTTAAATGAATTTAAAGCATGTTTTCGCAAACGTGATTAAGATTACAATCATTTGTAAATATTTAATCAGATGAATAACGTTGGTTTGAGCCCTTGTCATTTGGTACCTAAACATCAAAAATCGACCAATCATATACCATATAATCATTAACTAACTAACACTCTTTGTGAATCCGGGTATAAGTCAATGAACAACGCTTTTTGCAAGCTAATTCAGCACAGGAGTACACAGTTGCAGTTCGCACTTTTAGAAATTTTACGAAGGGCCGGTTCCACATAATGCAAGTATAAGCTATTTCAAGTATAAAATCTAAAAATTCAATCCAATTTTCAGATTTTGTACCTACTTGGAATAACGTATACTATAGGTTGCCTTGTATATGTATACTTGCCTTGTACAATCGCCCTAAGATGTATACCTACCTATTGTGGAGATTTAAAAAAGAGGGTTTTCATTCCAGGGGTTTTTTTCCGGGGGGTTTTCTTTCCGTGGGTTTTTATTCCGGGGGTTTTTATTCCCGGGTTTTTTTCACGGGTTTTTTCCTGGACTCACCTTCTCTATACAGCTGCTGATTCCTACACTTGTCATGTCATAAAGAAGGTTTTCAGGAACCTAAAGACTTGCACTTCTTAATATTGAATGCTGAAAGCTATATTTGAAAAGGAACCATTAGTGTAATGGTAATACGATAATACCATTCGAACTGTTAATACAGCATAATGTATTTTCTGATGTGTGAGAATGTATAATGCTCTTGAGATGTTGGGAGCCTCCTCAATAATTTTTACCAGTCCGGCAATCCGGGCAATCCCATGTGAGCCATTGCCCATATACCCCTGATTTATCACCGTATAGCATCGTTTTATTCACAAGCATCAAAAATACAATGCGTAGTGACATTTGTGACTCCAGTGGCGGATTTACATATAGGCATACTACTACTAGGCACGTGCCTAGGGGCGGCAGCTTTAGATGGCGGCATTTCTTAGCACTATATTTATTTTAGGTAATATTTTAAGTTTTAGTCCCCTAACAAGTTACAAATGACAAAACTTATTAATTAAAATTATGAAATAAATTGGAATTGGCAGAGATAGTTTAAACAAACTTAACTGTAAGAACGATAATGGACAATGCAAGTTTTGACGTGTGTGAAAACGTAATCTTAGTATACTGTATTTCTATTCATATTAATTTTAAAAATTTCAAGTTATAATGTGATTTTTTATTAGCATCTTAAAATTTATTGCAACTTAAAGATTATATTTGAAGGGGCGCATATCTTTCGGTGTGCCTAGGGGCGCAAAAAATTTAAATACGCCACCGTGTGTCTCCTGAAACAGCTGTCTTTACTCAATTGTTTTTGTAGAATTTCCCGAAACTTTTTGAGCAGCCCACCTACTATTACATGTTTTTTATTCTGTGGTTGAAGTGTATTATTCTATTGTTGTTTTGGCTTGGCGTACGAAAGAGGTTAGGTAAATAAACTAAACACCTGTGGATTAGGGAGATGTGATCAATTAGTTATCAGTATTCAGTTGTGTTGTGCAATAATAAACTTGCTGTTGGGCATAATGTATCCTCTACCTAATTGGCCAAATAAGTCCCCTAAGTGGGACAGCAAAACGCTAGAAATTTTAGATTTACCAAAAACCATTCCTTCAGATGTGAATGTTGAAGTAATCTTAAACAAAAGTGATCGATTTCCTGTGAAATTCCCAATTGATACTGTGAGATGCAAAACCTTACAGACCACTGTGGAAACAGACACTCTCGAAAGGAACATCAATTCGGCTTATCCCTTAATACACGAAAATGCCCTACACTTATGCGCAAAATTCTTATTGCATAAAAGGAAAAATGGAACCGTGGACGAACAGCGAGTGTACAAAAATATGACCATTTCAACCCTTATTGATCGTCTCTTAACAAAACGTGCCGTAGTGTTCATGGGAAGATTCGATAGTTACCTGCTGATAAATCAAACAAAGGGTGCAGGTAAGTGGGAGTTGATTGGAAAAGATCCCAGATCACGACTGTCCCTTGAAAACTGTTTGAGTTACGACGAGATTAAGTTATCTGCCTTCCTTTCGGTTACTTCGTATACATATTTTATTAACGATGGGACGAGAAAGAATATGGGCAAGGTAGCTACAACCCGGACGAATATTCAAGATGAGGGTGTGGTAATTGGATTAATTGGAGCTCGACTTAAGAAAGCAAAGGTGATGGAGTATGAGGAGATGGTTGTAACTAAGGCTCAGAATATTGAAGAAAATGGCTATGGGGAAGAAGAAAGCTTACACAGTGTTTTTGCTAATTTTTATGAAGAACCTTGTTTTACTTATGGACAAGTGTTGGATCAAGTAAAGACGCAACCAAGACGGTTTACTGCTTTGGGCAATGAAGAATTTTTTGACAATGTTGTCTTTGCCAAAAGGATTGCGTTGTCGATTGACACTTTGTTAATTGAAGCTAATGAAAGAGCTCACTGTAGAAATACAACAGCGTTTGTCCATGTTGTTGGTATTGGTTTGGGTGTATGGAAATGCTCCCCTCATCAAGAGGAGCTTTTTGTAGACGTCTTTGGCAAAAGGCTAGAGTAAGTGATGGGTGAATGTACATAAGTATTGCTTCCTCGCTTGCTTCTGTCCAAGATCCCCTGTTCCTGGTAACATTTTGTAATTTCTCATTAACTCTTTCATTCATTTCTTTATCCATATTGCTCTCTGTCTATCCACACTTCTGGTACTTAACCATTTTACTTGATATTTGTTCTTTTTTAAGTTTGTCTATTTTTTTTGTTTTCTTGTCATCTGTAACTATTTTCTCTTTGTTTAAATAAGTACCCTTGGGAATCTATACCTTAATGTTTGAAGAATGTAGTCATCCAACAAATGCCTAAATACCTACAGTTTCTTATTTCAGATCATTAGGAAAACTTACAACCTGCATTTCTGATGTTTACTTCTCATATATCAACGCCAAACAGTGTAACGGGTGTAAATCTGGAGAAGTCATGAAAATTAAAGATCATCCTAATGGAATTAAGATTCACATTGGCAAAAGAGACCCACATGTCAAGCTTTCTGGTAGCAATGCAGGTATGACAACTACAATTTGCAAATGACTAATTTTACCACTTCTGTTACAGGAAAGTTGTTAATAGTCTCATATGCATGGGACGGCAATGCATCGCCAGGAAATGAATTTTGGCTAGGTAAATTGGGCTCAACTGGAGATTCAGCAGCAGCCGCTTCAACACAAATCACAGAAATTCACAATTGTCACATAAATCCCAAGATTTGTGCGGCCAATCTTCGAATTGTTACAGCTGATGGGTTGAAAACGTATGAGGAGTATGTGAGGTGTATTAAAAGTGGAAAAAGAAAATTGGGAGGTTGATTGAAATAATACATTTTGATAATAAAGATTATTTTTATTTCATTGTAAGCCAAATGAAACATTTAAAACCAAAAAAGAATTTGTTTTGTTTCTGAAATAGAATTTGTAGAATTAACATAGTATTTGTTAAAAATGTGTGTGATTTATTATTATGTATCGTAATTCATACTGTACCTACTTAAACTTGTATGTGATAGAAAAAGTGATAGCAACTTAAGAATTGAGTTCGAACTATAAATTTATAGAATTTGTTACCTTTTCTACCATGTGAATTGTTAGTTTGTTTAGAAGTTATAAGCAGTTGTTTAAGAATAAAAACATAATACTTTACAATGATGCTGGTGTAGTAAGATTTAATTTCACATATCACCCGAGATATCACCATTCCCAATGTTTACTTGTGCCAATTCAAATTGAAGTACCTACTTTATAACTGATAGCACTGAGGCATTCTTACCTCAATTACCAACAATGAATATCAACTGAGGTGGGCTATAAAAATTCTAAGCATAAAATTAATCAAAAAAGAAGAGAAAAATCGATACAAGGGACCAGGCTTGCATGGAAGTCTAGGGAATATAAGAGAAAAAATAAAGAAAGTGGAGAGGAAAAACAAATGAACAGACCAATACTACTTGAGACCACAACAAGAGACTAAAACACTATTAAAAAATGACAGTGAAGGTGTATATTATGGCCTGATAAGATGAAACGGTGTTACAGTACACTTTGTAGGCAACTATACTAGCACCTTTGTAATATAAGTGACTATCCTTAAACGAGAATAATACCTTAATCCGCTCCTGTTAATTGTACGTGAGTGACGCAGATATTCACACTTGTATTGATTAAACGTTTTTATACGCTTAATATCAATTTGACAATGTAATTTGTACACGAAATTTATGCACACTGCTGCAACTTACGTAGTTTTCAATTTCTTTATGGTTTTTCATTGAATAAATATTTATTTATCGTTAAGTGGGTATGTATTGTTCGTTGTAATTCTGGATGTTGTGTAATTTCTCTAAGCTTAGCACTCACTTTGGGCGAATCGCTTTTTTGTGTTTTTGTTGTTTATTTGTACACTATTGCCTTTAGCCAAAGATGCTAATTCCACCTTGTGCTTTGGCCCGATTGCAGCGTTCTAGAAGATTCGTCAATTAATAAAGGTGGCGCCACACGGCGCGTAATTTGAAAATCTGCGATAGCATGACGAATATACGTGCCTACCCATCCCACTTTCCGCATTTTTAAAAATATGTTGTGGTATATGTTGTTGATATGTTGCTCCTTATCAGTTCACCTACGACAGGGACTTTGTGATGTACATACGAATACTGTAAAAACCGGCCCCAAGGCCAAAAAGGTAAGCGAAATGTTAATTTGTTTAATGCGAATACTTATTTAACTGCACGCGCGCGCTAACATGTCCTTTTAAGAAATAATTTGCATGGTTTTTTCTGTACTGCTTACTTCTTTTGTATTTCAAAGGCACGTAACCATATTTGGGGCTGGTTCAACACAACTATTTGTAATTGCCATTTTCACATTTAAAACTTCAGTTATCTTTAATAATCGAACATTGATAGGCGCACAAAATAACCAATTACTAAGATAGGAATAGCAAAAAAGGTGTCTTTCTTGGCAAAAGTGTTTAATAACACTTTAAGGTTTCGCTAAAAATTTGCATTAATCACCATATAACGAAATGGGAAACCCGAAGGAAAACCCATTTAGCGTAAATTTTTATTTATATTTGTTTATACAATTCGTTAATTCGTTGACTGAATATTGTAGCAGACGTTTTCGAAAAATGTGAAATGTAAGCGCGAGGGGGTCATCTCCATCCCTTAGCACTAGGTGTGCAACTCCTACAATTTCAAGTGCGTAATGTAATATATTTTTGAAAAGATTTTTCTTTCTTGAACGTGGTGATGTAATTTTCCCAGATTTGGTCATCCGTTCGTCACGGCCCGAAAATGCCACACAAGTTTGGTACTAATTTTTTGGTCGAGTAACTATCTTGTAGTATCTTATCCTCTCACTTATTTATCTTGGTGAACCAATTTGGCTGTCTTATCTGATACTTACACACTATTTCAAGTAGATCTCTAGATCGATAGCATGTTTATCAAATAATTATAAGGTTCAAATTTAATTTCAATCGGTTAAACTGCATGTTACCATAGAGGAAATTATGATATTACCAAGAAGTGTAAGTAAATTACAAATTACAATCGGTGGGTGGTACCTATTGAAATGAAAGTCCTAATGTATGTTTCTTCTTTAATCTTTTTTCCTGCAACTGTAACTATATTTAGTTCGGTCTTTTTGAATTCAGTAACTTATAGCTCTAGCATTTGAGACAAGAAAACTCGTGACGATTAATTGACTTTGGTCTTTATTTTTATAAGTGATAAGTTATTTAATTGAAAATAGTTTCTTTTTCGAAAAGGAAAAGTTTCCGTGGACTGTGTGGCAATTTTGATTATAAATAAATGCAGGGAGTTCAAAAATGCAATAAGGGTAACTTTGTATATAGTAGTTTCTTACAAAAGGTAACAGTTTTCGAAATATTTAATATTTTTTCTATTGTAAAAATAGTAGTAGTCCTAGTCCATGACTAATCGCCATAGAGGCGAAGAAAAAACGATCGAGCACTAACGAAATGTCACTTTTTCTACTACATAAAACAGTACTAAATAGCATTTTTATAATGGAAAAAATATTGAATAGCCAATATTTCAAAAACTAAAAATTTTTGGATTAGGCTTTATACGAAGTTAGCCTTATTTTTGTGGTTCATAAGACACCGTTATAAAATAAAGGGATTTCTATTAAACAAAAAATTTAAGTTTTAACGAGCTTTTCAATTCGATTTTTTAGTTTTTGAATCCCCTGTATTTATTTATAAATACAATTACAACGCACTCGACTAAAGCGGAACCTATTCTAAACAAAATCGCCCCAATTATTTTTATTATGCGTAGAATTTGAGACAGAATTCGAAAATTGATTTTAAAAAATACTGTTCTATTTAAAAAATCAACTTTGGTGTCAAAACCTACTTTTTGACGCACCCTGTATAGTTGCTCTTTAGCGCAAAATAATGAGCAAGAAAACTCTAATAGACGTGTGCCGGTGACCCAACACCGATTTTTAAATGAATTTGTTTCATATTTTAGCCGTTCACTGTATATAGCCAGAATTCGCCGTGGGACACCCTGCATATGAAACAGAAATCAATATGCCATAATTATTATAGTTGGCGGTGATAAGGTGTTATCGTGAACGAACCTCAACACACTTGTCAGACGGACCTGTGAATTTATTTCGACTTGCGAATTGTCAGTTACATGATATGTTCACAGTTAAACTTTTTTTGAACCGGTCGATATGTTCATGATACTTTAAGGCCCATTCATATTATCCGGCGCTTTCTTTCAGTTACTTCGCGATCATGAGTTTAAAATTGTGAATGGTTACATTTTGCGAAAGAACGGACGAATTTAAATCACAGTATGGTTAAGTTTACGGAGTACCCTTTATGAGTACCCAGTACCCTCTTTCAGCACTTCATTTTCGAGATATTCACTGTTAAAGATTTGACATCACTTAGGATATATTTCTTCCAACTGTAGAAATTTATTCCTTTCGTTGAGACCTGCATTAAAATGCCATAAATAAAATAAATTTTTAAACACAGGATGGTGTAGTCCACCAATCTCAACTTCTTTACAACAGCCTTTCCTAATAATATAAGATCTCTGTCCATTGGAGCTCTCAAGTCCCGCCTCCAAACATTGCTTTCAAAAAACGCTTTTTATTGTCAGGAAGAGTTCATGAAAAACTGTTATGCGATTTAATATGTAAAATTGTACTCTGTTATCCTCCTTTGTTAGTTAGTCTCTGAATGTACCTTTGTATTTTGTTTGTAATCTTTTTTTTCTAATGACGGTATAATAAAAAAAAATCTAATCCTCACCCCCTCTCCCCGTCACCCATTCATCTCAAAAAGGAGTCGCGAAGGAAAGTTATAATTTGTAGAAACCAATTCCTTTTGATGAGATGTTTGATTAGAATAGCATGCATGTGTGTTTACAACTTTATATGTTACAATTTCCTCGTGGGTACAAATTAGTGTAAAATTCAAAAGATTAGTTTCTCGAGTCTTTTGCACTTTATAATGAAAATCCCCTAAATTCCTCGGTGGAACTAAATAGTTAATAAATTAATCTGTTTATGCGAGGGTTAGAGCTTTAGTAGTGACAACACTGCAGTAAAGACGCCACTCAACGAAACCAAATCATATACCATACATTAAGGTGCGTATATATATGCTAGCCGAACCGTTTGCGAACTGCTCAAAAACTGTTCTTTGAAATTATTTTTACAACGATCCATGGAAAAGCCGAACCAGCCGCAAACCACTAGCAGTCATCAATCTGTGTACTTCAGATACACATGAAACAACAAACTTCACACAAACACGTCCCAATATGAACTGCGAAAAACCGACAGGAAAGGTTCTTGCATATCGTTGCAAACCGGATGTACACAATGCTAGAGACTGTATTGAAGGACTGTAAAACTTGGTGGCATGTATCACTTTTGTATTATTAGTAAATAAATAGTTGCCAGTATTAAAGTTCCAGCCCTCGTAATAACTTTTGAACACAAAGTGATCTAAAATTCAAATCGCAAGTTCAGTTGTCTTTTCTGAGCTTTTTAAACGCTGAGGATGCTGATGAACGCGTGGAGCAGGTAGACTTTTTTATTTTATCTTAATTACGACAGTTTACACAGTATAAAATCTGCCAATTTTCGGAGAAATAATCACCAACTTTATTTTGTTATATGGCCCTATTGGACAATTTTTTCATTTTTCAGGAAATTAGTCCGGTAGGTATTTTCGCAAGATTATGGCGTTGTGCGCAGCTGCACCATCCTGTTGAAACCAACAGCTTCCAACTTTTATTTTTTGTGTGTGTCGGACATTGTTGTATTCGTAATTAAAAATGCTACTCAAAACAGTATGTACCTTTTTTACCTGCCATGTAAAAAAGTAAAGTTGATGATGGTTTGTTCGAAACCAAACGTTGTATTGAAAATCTCTCAATGCTGACACTTGTAGAGCTCAAAAAGTGGCAATGAGAAAGTATTTTTTTATGTGTTCAAATAACATCAGAGAAAAATATAAAAACGAAATGCAAATTTCGGTTTTTCTGGCATATCTTCGGAAATATGCGGAATTTTCTGGTTTTCTTGAAAGCATAATAATAACTCTTTAATTACGCATCTTTTCTCTTATCTGACCGTCCTCGTACCTTATAGTTTCGGAGATCCCCATGATAGGCATCCTTATTTTGGACACAGTGTGTATAAGTACTAATAATTCAAATACTTATGTATACTTCACATAACTAGCTTGATGTCAAGCTCGCACCACCATCGCAAAAACGGTTTTCCGGCGGAACTAAGCGGGTACAAATTGTAATTGTTCCTAAATTATAAGCATATTGTACTTGATTTGGGCAAAGTGAGGTTGCCAACTTTATCGACCTCTCTAATACTAATAATAAGTACAATAATATTTTCAAATTATATTTTTATCGAAAGTTTGGACGGCGCTGACACCCACATAGTGTATTTTGATAACTTTCGTACTTTAGTTCACAGGCGTTTCGATTAAGTATGTTTATGCGTGATCAAAGCCCATGGTATTTTTTCTTTAAGGTTAGTTATTCGGATTTTTCCAATTCTTTCAATCAAGTGAAAAACATGTGCTAGAGTAGAGTAGTTCACTGAAACGAAACATTTATAACCTCATAAAATAAAACTTTAAATATATTTTATCTGTAGCATGCGTCGTTATTCTCATTTTGTTAATGATGGAATGCGAAATGTGTACGATGAATAAAATTGTGTTTGGATATAGTCCATCTTTTTACCATAGTTCATGGATTTTGATTTTCAACGACTTATTATTTATACACGATTGTCCAAGTAGAATCTATGACAATCTATACAATGTTGAACTATTTCGTACGCGCAAACTTATTTATTGGTATAACAATGCGCGGCTCTATTTGTCCGACATTCGTTTACGAGTCAAGATCTCAGCATTGAGACCTCGTGGAAAACTGTGTTTGTTGTATGTACTAACATGTTCAATGTTACAATGTTGTAAGTAACGTGGAAGTCACGTTACAAGAGATAAACGAGCGACGGCGGCGTCATCGAAAATGCATGCACTAAATTACAGCCCTTTTGCATGTTTTGCTTTCTGTCTAACCCGTTTCACTTTTAACAAAGGCGCCAAGGCATTTTACTTCAAAATGCTGTCATAACGTAATTTTTTAGGTTTCAAGAATGGCCGAAATTCCAAACTGGCCCGACAAGCGGCCACTATGGACTGAAAACAGTTTAAACTTACTACTAAAGGGTGTGGATAACGTGCCTGAGGAATATGTGGAGCTCGAAACTATAATAGAGTCTAGTGAAGAATTTCCAATCCCATTTCCAATCGACAGTGTACGTTGCAACACTCTATCACGAACGACTCCGAAACAGTCTTTAGAAAAATACATAAATTCCGCATACCCCGTCATTCACGAGAATGTTTTACCTCTTCTTTCGTCGTTTTTAAATCACAAGCAGAGATTGGGAAATGCGCGCGAACGAAACTTTTACCAGAATATGACGGTGGTGGAATTAGTGGACCGATTACTCTCCAAACGGGCTGTGATTTTTCTAAACGCGCATGATAATTACCTACTTGTTGATGGCACCAAAGGATTTGGCAAATGGGAGACTATTGGTACCGAAGCGCAATCGGAAAAACTAACTTTGGAAAAGTGTATTAGCTATGACGAAATCAAACTGTCCGCTCTGCTCTCAGTGTCTTCGCACACTCACTTTATCAACAACGGAAATCGCAACAATGAAGGCGTTCCGAAAAGAATTAACATTGAAAATGAAGGAGTGATAATAGGGCTCATTGGTACTCGTTTCGAGAAACCCAAAGTTATGGAATACGCCGATATTGTGATAACGAGTACCCAAAACACGTACGGTAACGGATACGGAAATCAATTCGCACCGACGTTACGAACAATTTTTTCTGGGTTTTACGGAGAACCTTGTTTTCTTTACGAGAACGCCGTCGAATTGAAAAAACAAAAACCCGATCGCTTTAAAGAGTTAGATGATGGCATTCTGTTTGATAACCACGTGTATTCGAAACGATTGGCGTTGTCAATGGATACGTTGTTGTTTGAAGCCAACCAGAGAGCGAGAACCCAAGGCACTACAGCTTTCGTGCATGTTGTGGGTCTTGGGCTTGGCGTTTGGAAAATTTCCCCTCACCAGAATTCCCTCTTTGTTGATACATTTGCCAAAAGGATAATGTAAGACTCCCACATTTATGAGATGCTCTAATCGTAACGCATAATTTTAGCTCGTTAGGGCCACACCTGGGCTCAATATCCGACATCGTATTTGCATACTTAGGTTCAATTACGTCATGCGGCGGTTACAAAAGTGGCGATATTATTCCCATACCTGGACATCCGAGATCTGGAATCAAAGTAATTATATCCAATCGTGAGCCGCACACTAAACTGGCCGGAGACGATGCGGGTAAACTGTTAGTTGTGTCCTACGCGTGGGATGGTAACGCGTTACCCGGAAACGAATTTTGGCATGGTTCGTTGTCGGGTTCTGGAGATCCGGCGGCCGCCTCGTCTACGCAAATTGCCGAATTGCATAATCCGCATATCAACAGCAAGGTAGCGGGAAAAAATCTTCGAGTTGCTGGAACATTTGGTGTTGTACCGTTGTCGATATATCGCTCTGTGGCGCAAGTTATTAGTTAAGTCGCTCCTTTCTGTATTTTAATATAGTTTTTATATGTATCGGTATAAATTGTATAATGCTAATATATTTTTGTTGTTAATAAATGCATCTATAAATGTTGTTCAAGTCTATATCTAGATCATCATATGTTGCCTTCTCACAGATGAATGTCTTCTTGTAACTAATTTGTTACTTATTCTATAAGTTCACGAATGACCGACCGAAGTATAATGCAAGTAAGAAAAAATAGGAAAATCTGTTGGTAGATTCGTGAACTGAACGCACTAAAAATGTCAATCGTTAGTGCAGAGTATGTCTTTAGCGCCAACCATAAAAAATTATGGTATGCGTTGAAGATTTGTTCGTCTGGGATTCATTTGTATGGTATAATGTTTATATACTCACCAGAAACTAGTGATGGAAGTGTTTTCAGAGAGAAGCGAGTGCTTAGTATGGTAAACAATTACGCGTCGTCATCTATACACAGAACTCTGAACTATGCTAACAATAACTTTGCTTTCTTAGTGTCATGCGCCGTAACGGCGTCGTTATGTTACCCATAGGTCAAAGGCACTTCTGTGATATCGCCGAAATGATCTGTCCTGCGGCCAAGGCATTTTCTCGATTTCAATTTATCCAGGAATTCTCTGCGAACCATAATAATGAGATACATTTGAGATGTCAAACATTATTGCAGAAAGTTCTAAGCCATCGTGATAAAAAAACACTGCACTACTTTTCGATCACCCGGTATAAACAGACATATCTACCGTTTTGCAGATATCTTTTTGGATTTGGGACGCAATCATCACATCATAACTGCTTCTACAGGGTTTGGAATATTATTCCTGCTTCCTGCATGGTTATCTTGTACGAAGGTTTTTAAACGTATGTGACTATACACGAAGCGTTGCAGCTATATCATCCGAAATTATTCGGAAACATGCTAAATAAATTGATGCTATATTTAAAACTACTTTTTTGACACAATACTTATAAGTATATATTTACTAACTAAGGTGTATTGGCTCGTCTCTCTCTCTCTCTTCCTTTCTTTCTCTCTTTCTCGGGTATTGGTAATACATTTTAAGCTTGAGGAATATGTCCTTTTAAGATGACAGAGACCAGATGATAAATAGATATCTACCAAAATGCTGATATCAAAACAAATATAGGGAGAAAAGGAGAATATCACGTAAGAACTAATATTCCTATAAATCTTACAAATTAATTTTAGCAAACAATTACTATAACAAATTCTTACAAACGCACCAGTCACTTATTAAAATACGAAATTGATTCCAAAAGCAAAAACTTCCAAAATTCTGAAAAGAACGAATATAGCCATTAAATAAAATAGTGTTTTTATTCGATACGAATACATACTTGCGGGTTGTTTTGCACCTAAGGTGTGTTACTATTACACATTTTCCTCCTAGTTACGTTTTAAATTCATCAATTATGGTACGTAATAGTAATAAATATGATAATCTTCTATTTTCAAAATATACATTATACAGGGTGTTTCTTAATAATTTTTTTTTTCCATTTGGGACAAAGCCATTATAGTGTTCCGGTTATTTTTCTTTCAAGGTATCGAAGTTATAATATCGCCCACACGCCACTGTTAAAACTAAGAATTCAGTTTTTATTGGAAAAATTGCAATTTTATTATATATCACTAAATCCATACCGAGATCCACACTAAATATCATCGAAATATCCCTATCTTTTTTCTTAAATTTTGACACCCTGTACTTTCGTGGCGAAAATGTTTGGACTATAATTTATTATTATCATTGTTTATATGCACAACTACTCCCTTAAAATTCGCAACATAGCATTGTCATTACAAACATTTCCTATTACTTTTTAAAATTACTTTATCCATTTCAGGATAGAAAGTACAAATGACAAACAGTGAAAAATGGTATTATATACCAAGCGAGTCACCAAGGGTCTGAATTTATCCCGGTGGTGCGGTTCACATATACCTATTGTTACACTCCACTAATTATATACAGTGTGTCCAGGTAGAAAGCACCATGGAGAAACGTCAATGTATTTTTTCGCATAGGATCCACGCGGCCTTTCCAATTAGCGTTCAACGTACTACGGCAATCCCTTTCTAGCATCAGCCAAGTGCAATTACGTACATTGAACGCTAACTTCAAATACATATCAAAGCCTCCGTGGATTCTTCGCGAAAAAAAATCATTAATTCTGTTTGTCTATAGTGTGTTCAACCTGGGACACCCGGTATAAGAAATTAAATGTTAAAGGGCAAATTTAAAATAAAAAATGATGTTTGTAGGATCAAGATTCCTTGTAATGTTTGTACTATAAACTACACTTTAGATGGTTTAAAACTTTCATACGTTGAGGGTTTTTTTAGGGGACGATAACCCCAACATCTTTGAATTACAACCCCTGTCGAGTTTGACCTTATTTTAAAGGGAATTGTAAAACAGCACGAAACAGACTTATGGGGGTATGTTTTTTAAAAATTACCTTTACAATAGAGTAAACCTTGACAGGAGTTATAACCACCTAAAAAACAACGACCAAACTGACTATAACACCATATTTCACCTTATGACTGACCCCCAGAAATTACCAGAACATCCGGCCTTAAAAGGAATCGGTTTTGTTACTTTGAATATATGTTAATGTAGTTATAAATCTTTTTCGATTTGGGATGTAATAGTTGCTCTCTGAAGAATTTTTGAAGAGTACAGTGTTTTGTACGTGAGAAATTTACATTTTTATGATCCTTTATTGATCCCGAGATTCTCAAACTTTTTTCACTCGTTTGAAACTTATAGCTAGCTCCTTCGCGCCGGAACCTTTGGAAAACGCTGTATAAGAAAAATAAACGCGGCAAAAATTTTTTGCAATTTTAAATGAAAATATGGCCCCTATCTTATAAATAATGTAATGCTTCTTTGTTACACGTTTTCTGGATTGAAAACAGCAATAAATAATATAGTTTACATATTAAATAATATTATCTCTTTTATTTTTAGGTTTCAGACCCTAACATACCGAACTGGCCTAAAAAGCGACCGCTTTGGACTAAAGCACGCTTAAATTTCCTGTTGCAAGAAGCAGAAGATGTGCACGAAGAACATACTACTCTTGATAGTATCATCAAATCGAGCGCACAATTTCCAATCGCCTTTCCTATTGACAGCGTACGCAGTAAAACCCTTTCCAGTGAGATACCGAAGCAGTCATTAGAAAAATACATAAATTCTGTGTACCCGGTAATTCACGAGAATGTGCTGCCTTTACTTTCGTCATTTTTACAACACAAACAAACATTTGGAAACGCGCGTGAACGAAAGCTTTACCAGAATATGACTGTGGTAGCTCTAGTGGACCGATTACTAGCAAATCGGGCGGTAGCTTTTCTAAACCAGGCCGATGATTATTTGCTAATGGATGGCACCAGGGGAGCCGGTAATTGGGAAACAATTGGCACCGAAAATGAGACCAACATACTAAATTTGGATAAGTACATAAGCTACGATGAAATTAAGCTATCCGCCCTTTTATCAGTGTCGTCGTACACTCACTTCGTTAATAATGGAAATCGCTATAATGAAGGTGTAGTGAATAAAACAAACGTTGAATACGATGGCGTAATAATTGGACTCATAGGTGCTCGCTTTGAGAAGTCAAATGTGATGGAGTACGCCGAAGTTTTAGTTACCGCCGATCAAAATACATACAAAAACGGGTATGGAAATCAACTTCCTCCCACGTTGCGAGCAATTTTCTCGGACTTTTATGAGGAACCTTGTTTTATCTACGAGAAAGCTATCGAATTTAACGCAAGCTTTCCTGGTCGTTTCAAACCATTGTCCAATGGCACTTTGTTCGATGATCAAGTTTATTCTAAGCGATTGGCGCTATCGATTGATACTTTACTGTTTGAGGCAAATGAGAGAGCAAAAATGCAAAGGACGACAGCTTTCGTACACGTTGTTGGTCTTGGACTAGGCGTGTGGAAAATCTCACCTCATCAACAGTCGTTGTTTTTAGATACGTTTGCTACGAGAATCATGTAAGTTCATTTTATTTACAAATTCAGTGCATGAGTATACCAACAATAATTAGCACTTATTCAGTTGTATATTTTAGCGGACTGGGAAACCATCTACACGCAATATCCGACATCGTTTTCGCGTACTTTGGCTCAAATATGACATGTGGCGGTTACCAAAGTGGTGACACCATCCCCATACCTGGACACCCAAAATCGGGCATAAAAATAATCTTAAACAAGCGAGAACCACACACCAAGCTTGCAGATGACGACATGGGTAAACTTTTGGTGGTTTCTTATGCGTGGGACGGTAACGCGTATCCTGGGAACGAATTCTGGCTTGGTTCGCTTTCCGCGTCGGGAGATCCCGCAGCTGCCTCGTCTACCCAAATAGCGGAGCTGCACAATCCCCGTATCAATGATAAAGTTGCTGGAAAACATCTACGGATTGCCGGAACTTTTGGCATTTTACCGTTTTCTAAGTACCGTACTGTGGCAATACTAGCTAAACCTCGTCTAGCCAATCTAAAGTCAGATATGACCCAGGTTTAAATTTGTGTGATTAATTCATTATTCGGATAACGGATGATGTTAATCCGTTATAACAGAACATGAACTTTGTCAATTAAAAAATTGAAATATAGTATATTTACTCTTATGCTTTCATTAAATAGGAACGGTTTGCTGCAAATTCACCTAAAACTGGTGATTGACAGCCTGAGTTTCAATCGAAAACCTTAATCTTACAGATGTTAATTACACCTTACTACTTATTTTCATTTCTCTCTAACTAAGAAAACCTCAACCTCCAACACAGGAAAGCACTACTCAATCTGGTTACTTAAAAATTACTAAATGGTTCAGTATGTTAAAAAAAAATTTATATAAGTACACCAAAGCTCCACACGATTTTGGGTAATATGTCCCTAAGGGATCACTTTCACAACTAAAATTATATTATGTGTTGAAATAGTTATTTGTACAACTAGTTTTGAAAGTGATACTTTTTTTCATGATTTTGAAGTTTGATTAATGAGGGCGAAGCCCGATAATCAAGCAAATTCATGGAAAAAAGACACTTTCAACACGTGTTGTACACGAAAATTTTTTGCATGGTGATCCTAAATAACCCACAATTGAATAATTTTATTGACATTCGCGATTAACTGTCACTCAAAAATGGATGCTATTGTTCATAGACAGGACTAAACTCCATGGAAACGCATAGTAAAAATCGTGAAAAAAAGTACCACTTTCCATACGATTTTTCGTTAAAAAAAGTTCGATAATTTCATCACTATGTAAAAAAATTTAATAGTCTAACTCCTAAGGCTTTTGTTTAGCATACAGCCAGCAACTCTTGTATCGCTTAGTATTTTATCCTGAAAGCAGGTTTCACGAGGAAGAGTATTTTAAAAATTAAGATTGTAGAAATCAGCAAAATTTGCTGGAATCATTTATTGTCCAAAATGTGTAAATGTCCGAGGCTCTTTCGTGCTAACTTGTAAAGTTGGAGATTACAAAAATAATTAGGGGATCAAATATTCGAACTTTTCGATATATTTTTAAAATCTTGCTCATTCAGGCTGAACGATCTACCTTAGAATCGTACCTTCCTCAATTTTGAACCCTTTATTATCATACAAAGATGATAGTATGAGAATGAGACGGTTAACCTAGTTTGAGCTCTGTATAGCATTCAGTGCAGAGTTTAATTATCTCTGTATTTATTGAGGAAACTTTATACGTTGAAGCTGTGCAATTCCTAATGCGATTAATTCAATTCAAGATGATTTTTTTGCGGTACAATATCCTCTGTGAAACAATTTAGGTGCCCTCGATCACGATTTCTATAAGAATGAAAAACTTGAAAGAAAAGGGCGTCGTCACGTTCGGGCCATGTAATTAAGCATTGTGTAACTTGGCAAATTTAACATTTCAATAACATCCGATTTAAATGGAATCAGCGTAACATTAATGTCGCGAATTTAATTAATCGAAAGGTAAGTTTTTGCTAAGATTACGTTCCGTTACATCATTCCAAAAATAAAAGCAGTCCTGGGGGCAAATTGATCGATCACGACGCCATCAAGATTTTTAATTTGTTGTGTACAGAACCTGAAATTAATATTGAACATATACCTAAATTTGGAAGATTTTAAACACTGGCAGAAAATCTTTGAGAAGATAATTTGCATTTCTTGTTAACAGTCTTATAATTAACGACAAAGTTACTAAGAAATTTTGATTATTGGTTAGAGATTTCGCATCTTAGCAAGTTTCTATTTACACTTTCACACTGCTTGCTTACAAGATGTGCAAATTTCATACTGTCTTAGGTAGCTAAATAAACGGTCATCGACTCTATTTTACAATTTTGTCGTACGGTATAGTTACTATATTACATAAAATAAAGTGTTTAACTTTGTATTTTACGACTGTTAATTGAATTAAGTTTTGAACATAAATCTAGCTGTGCATTTGCATATGCAGTAAAATCCAACATGCGTGCAGTTTCTAACAAAAAACTTTCTATCGAACTTTCTTACATGTGCATTTTTTACTTATGCGTTAATACCTTTTTCTAAAGAAAATCCGTGGTGTGAACGGATCAATTTTCAATTCAAATATGTTAATTAAACAGAAATTACAATTACCTCTAAATGTATTGATTAAAAGTGAATCGTACAAAATCATTTTAACAGACAATCAAGTCCTTAGGGATATTCGCCTCAATATTGCATTACCACTTTGTTTTTAACGTTCCCTCTTAAAATTTGACGTTACCAAAGGATACCCTTCACAATCAGTAGCTACCCCTATAAGGAGTCGGAGTCGAGGAGGAGGGCGGTGATGGATAATAATTAATTCATTTGTATATTTGAAGGTCGTCTGGAACAGCACTCTAGCACGATTCCCCGCAGAAGTGGGTTTGGACAGACAGACAGACGGATAACACGCATTCAATAGCACATTTTTGTGATAAAATGATAAAAGAAAAACATAGTCCATGGCTACTTAGACTAAAAACTCGTGAAAACAGAATCTTTATAATTAATTTTTTCGCGTACAAGAAGAGGTAGAATAAAATCGTTTCACATGACTTAGATGCAGAATTTATATCTCTTTTATTTGAAGTATTTTTGCGTAAAATAATAATTAAGAAACGTTTGCGCAAAGAAAAAGTAATTTCCCATGTTAAACGCCTATGTTCCACTTTTCGATTTACACCCTGTACAGTAATTATTATTGAATTATGATACACGTTTTTTTATGATTAGTACCCAGCACTTCCGATATAAGCTCTTATTTTTTTAAATGCACTTTTAAGGATATTTCAAGGAAATTTCTGAAATTGACTAGAGGACATTTTTCATAAAATTGTTAAAACTCGTTTCCCATATTTAGCTCAAATTATTTCAAAATTAAGTATTGTAAACTGGTCAAACTTCTCAATAAGGGTAACGACTAATTTTAATTAGGGTGGTAATTATTTTCACTGAAAAAAGTAGGGATGAACCTTATTTTTATTATAACTCGCTCAATTTTTACGATAGACTTTTTTTTAAGAAAAGTTTTTTAAATACTACCTATACGGATTCTATAAGTTTTTTTCGCAACTCTTGAAACTGTCTAATTTAGCGTTTGACGAACCTATAACAAGCCAAGATTTCGTCCTACAGCAATCATTAAAAAACATGTTTTGCTTAAAAACTACAATTTTGTTCTTATATTATCAATTTTCCGTCGCCTGTCTATCTTCTTGATGTCGGCCCGTTAATCGAAGAAAATATAGAAAACAGATCTTTTCTATGAATGTGATTACTTTGGTCGCGAATAACTCATAAAGTATTAATTTTACAAACAAAAGTGTACAGAACACAAATGAAAATTTTGGTCTACCAACTTAACCGAACTGAGAGTGTGAAAAGAATTGCACAAAATTTAGTTCCTGTGCATCAAAGCAATAAGTTCATAAGAAATTGATGAATAAATAAAGATTTCGTTCTATCAACTTAAGCATGAAATTGACAAGGAGGCTACAAAATCTAGTCAACTCAATCCAATGTGTTTTGCTGTATCCCGGACGAAATTATTGAATAATTGAAAATGTTGCTCTACCAACATAACCAAAACTAGAGTATGACGAGAGGAACACAAAATTGAAATCGTGTGCATCAAAGCAATGTGTTTTGCAGTTTCCCCGATGAAAGGGATGCATACATAAAGATAAAGCCAATGCGTGTTTTACCGTTTTCTCGACAATATTGGAATAGTATATTAAGATACAAGTGTATAATCAAGTCTTTAAAGCACGCGCAACGAGTTTAAGGGCACGACGCAAAGCGGAGTGCCTTTAACGTTGCAAGTGCTTTAAAGACTAATTATACACGTGTATCTTATAGTATTTTTTATTATACCTGCAGTATCATTTAAAAATAGGGAATACAATGAAGTCATGTTGACGTTATACTCGAATACATGTCTAATTAAGTGGGCTGGGTGTTCGTAATTTCACGATTGCCATGGAAATGTCACTTGACGTTTGCTTATAAAAATCATCGTCTTTGTGAATTAAACAATTTCCGTTGAAAACGATAATACACTGTCCATTAAATCGATTGTTGTAAAATCTAAACAAACGTTGGTAGGTGTAAAATCCAACTCCAGTAAAGCCTATTATAAAGAATATGAAAAGTTGTTTCCATGGATGAATAGGAAAGTTACTTACGAATACAGTCTTAAATGCGTCGATAATGCTGGCATATATGAAGGAAATGTCAAAGGTATTTAAATCTTCTATATTTTGGTGCATTCATTCAAAACTTTAAAGCAATGCTGCGATTAAAAAGTGGAACAGATTTGGAAGCATACCCTAAATTACGCGCGTTTGTGAAAGCTTCAACCAAAGGATAGATACAAAAGCCAAAGAAATGTTCTGCCTTTACGGAAAGCGACCTAAGAGGAGTTTTTATTTCATCCAGATGACAGTTTCAAAAGTCATACTTACTTATATCGTTACTTAGCAACTTTAAAGCACGTGTGTTTTAAAGGCCCTTTTTCGCACGCATTTGAGTGTTTAAAACGGAGATTCTGATTCAGGTATAATAAAAAATAATTGAAGATTTTACTTAAATTTGGGCACCATTCCAAAGTGATTAGAAAAAAAACATCTCTTGCTGCACTAATGGGGGATCTACATCTATCAAACAAGACATTAACGGCATTTGTGCAACCTTCTGGTGCCGAGATCTCCCACACACTAACGGAAAATCGCCCCATAATAGCGCATTTGATTTTTTGAAAATTACGTTAAAAACCTGCATGCAAACTAGGAATCACAAATAATAATATAGATTCTGACACCCTCTAAAATCTAAATGATTTACATAATGGGCAAAGTGCGATTCACTTTACCCACCCCTTCCACTAAAGTAGAAACATTAAAAACGAATGAAGGACAAAAAATTACAGTAAGCACAATAAATTATTATACAAGGTAAATTAAACCTTTATTCCTATTTTAAATCACAGGGTCATCATAGGATACTAACAAAAATATACCTACGCATTAGAAAAAGGTCACTCTTGGTCAAAAACTAACTGAAATAAAAACAAGTTGGAAAGTACTCGATACGTGGAGCTATTTAAGCGCTG